GGGGGGGGGGGGGGACCAGCGGCGCAGCGTTTGAGAAACCCTGAGAAGTGTTTTTTTGCCTGCCTGCCTGCCTGCCTGCCTGCCTGCCTGCCTGCCTGCCTGCCTGCCGAGCTTCCAGGACAAAATGTGTTGCTTCGGCCGTGTTTTCAATTGTTTTGTTGCCGACTGTTTTTTAGCTAAGTTTTGCCAGGAAAAAGAGCACCTCGAGAGGTTGTGGGGTGGTCTGACCCCGGCTCTACCGCAGGCGACGGGATATAGGGATCGGCGCTGATATTTGTATTTCAGCATAGCTTTTTCTTTGGGGGACGATCTAGTCGTTCTCCTGTGTCTGACAGCAGGTTTGGTCAGCAGGATTGAAAGGCCACGAGGAAGGCCGGTCGTGCTGGGTTTTGCTTGCCGTCCAACAGCCGGCGCAGCTGTATACACCAATCAGCTACCCTCTGCTGCTGTCGCTGCTGCGTTGTTGTGCTTTGGTTTTTCTAGTCGTTTGTTTTTGCCGTGGTGTCTGACTGACTTGTTTCACGGAACGTTTTGGTGTTGATGGGTGTTTTCTACAACACACGGGCATACGGTTTAGCTCGAGGCCATGTTGCGGTGTCCGCTGAAGGGTATCTTGATCTTGCCATCATGCACCTCTTCGGGTTTGTGAATCGCGGGGAAATGCTGCCAGCCCGTGCTCTCATGGCCATCGCGCACCCGTTATTAGAGTTGAAAGCTGCGAAAGAACGTTATTTTTTTAAGGTGCGGTAAAAGCCTAGTTAGTGGAAAAGGTATCAGCAGCGGTGGCGGGACATGGGAGAGGGGGCTTGCGGAAGCTTCCAAGTTGTGTGAAAACAATGTTGATTTACCGTTCTTTGGGACATGTTGCACGGGTGGACGTTGCTGGTGCTAGTGCTGGTGCTAGTGGTGCCACAAAGTGTTGTGTTGGGTCAAGGTGACGCTCCCTCCCGGAGGGCAGGCTCGGCCGTAGAAAGAAGTATTCTGCTGTACGCGGACCGCAGGTCCATGTAGTAGGGGAATGGCCTGGTTGGTTCTTGAGTGAATGAATGGTTGTGTTTTTTGGGGGGTTGATGCGTTGTTGTTGAACCGCGTTGTTTATATTGCAAGCAGTTTTTGTCACTGCTTTCGCATCAAATTTACCTGGTTGGTTGTTATCGATGTTGGCTGTGGTCTGTTGAGAGTGAAGTGCAGAGGCATCATGTGCGCGTGCGGGACTTTTTTTTTTTCCTTGTGCGATTGTGCGTGCAACAGAATATTGCTGCCAGGGTCCACTTGGGTACAACAGTATCTAATTGTTGTGTGCATGATGGTATGTTGACTATACGGGGGGCAGTGTGGTGGTGGTGCTGTGCAGTACATGTCTAGGAGGCTCAAACAAGTCCCCTAAAGAGGAAGAACAGGCATCGCGGAGTGTTTTGGGCGTGTGCTTCGAGCTTCGCCGTGGCTGTGGAGGGCCTGGTGCACATAATTATCACACGAGCGTCTTTAATTTTGCCTGGTTTTGTTTTTTCCCCGTTCCTTGCCGTGAACGGGCGCCTTGGACGACAAAGTCGGGGAAGGAGATAGGAATGCGGCAGCAGGATAAAAATGGTGCAATGGTATATTAATTTCTGAAGTGTGGTTTCGGAAGGCCATTGTTCGACTTTGGACTACACAGCAGTGTAGTTCGACTATTAAAGAAAGATATAGTAGCTGTCGCTAAAACGAGCGACAGCTGATAGATGTAACTGTCGTCAGACGTGTGCGTCCGCGGGAGGTGGAAGAGACCCTTTCTTCTTCTTTTTCTCTTTGCAATTCACGTCATTGGTTACCCGCGACGGCGCTGAAGACGCCCATGTCCGTGTACTTGACCCTCGTACTCTGTGCTAACTCCCCAAGTCTAACCTCTTCCTGCAGCCTAGCCTTCATCGTCGGCGAATTTCCAAGGTTACCAATCCTGTCGAAACTCATGGGCTCTACCATGAGGTCCACAAGTCTCTTCGCCCTACTGAGACAGACGAAAGTAAGCCCCGTGCAGGCCTCCTTGGGCCCCAAGTCAATGACGGCCTTGGCTAAAGTCTGCCCCTGGGACTTGTGCATCGTAATTGCCCAGCAGAGCCTAAGGGGCAGCTGCGTCCTGACCTGCGTCCCCCCGTCCTGCCAGGTGGTGTCGACGGGAGAAATAGGGACACAACGTCTATACCTCTCCTGAGACGACCATTCCCCCCCCGAGTACCCTTCAAACTTGACGACAACGTAAAGGGGGAGCTTCGGCGGGGGCGCATCATCTGCGCACACCAACTCGACGACTTCGCCTC